AGTTTTGACCTCACCACCAAAGAGGGTTGCCCGTTCATTCCCCTCTACCCACGATTATTTTCGACACTTGTATGAAAAAAGCTCATGTCTTTTTCCCCTCAATGGTCCTAGCAAACCGATGCATCATCGCTCTCTTACGTTGATGGATCTCAGACCTATAAATAACGAAATATAAAGTAAAAAATGGGATTGGTTGGGATCTCACCTCACTCGGACGGTTTCCCTCAAGAACAGCTGATCTCTGTCAACAAAACAATGCTGCGTTCGGGGACGGTATAGTATGGTATCCGATTATTTTTATTTTGTGTACAGATGTAAGCTGAGGTGCGTTCGTCTAACCTCTACAGTGATATTTGAAGGAATTTGTCACATGTACAGTAATATGTACGTAGAATAAATATACAAAGGTAATATGTAACTAGAAGGTAAAGCTTTAATTCATATATTGAAAATACATGTCTTCCACAAAACATCAAAAGGAAAGTAATTTGCATCTCCACATATAAACATTAGGTCCGTGAGTCACGGGTAATACACCTGTAAATTTTCATTACAATTTATACTTAATTTTTTGCATGGCCCTGCTTCTTTGGTACCCGCCCCCTCCCCCATGCAATCTGATTGACCATCCCGGGTGCCCCCCCCCTCAATGGCCATTGACTCGTCATCGTAATATTGCTTAAAGTTTTTATTTTATTTTACCGATGTTGCACGTTAAGCTGAGAACTGCTGGTGTATAATGAAGTATAAAATGTTGTTGTTCTAAATTTCATTGTTATGGTTATGCCGAGTCTTATCAAAGCTGATAATTGCACAGAACACTGAGATTTTTATTATATTTTGAAATTATGTTTACATTTTCATGATATTTGTTTTACTGTTATAGAATATTGTCGCTACATTGTAAGAATTGAAGTGGTACCTAGTTAAAACTAATTACTACACAGAAGGACACTGCTATGTTCACTGTGCAGAGGTAGAAGTACCAACTTCTGATTAAGAACAGGAAATATCAAAGTTTTCTGTGTGTTAGCCTACCACTTGGTAACACTACATTCAGCAGATTTAATGTGACCAAGAAAAGCAAGATGGAAACGTAAACAATGTGTAACTATACAATATAAATACTAAAGTGGGCAGCTTTAATTTTTGTTACTTTTGGGCGCACCCACCACCCCCCACCCATCAAAAAATTCTCTGGACCCGCCCCTGAATTAGATATTTTAAACTAAAGTTTTGATTAGTTATTTTAACTAATGAATATTTGCCATTTGGTTCCAATATTCACGATCACTGTGGGGAAAAAACATGATTATCTCTTCATCAATTTATCCAAATTATCAGAGTTTCTTATTGCATGGAATTCTGAAAAAATAACGGAAATATGAAAGCATATAATATAAACTTCTCTCTCTCTCTCTCTCTCTCTCTCTCTCTCTCTCTCTCTCTCTCTCTCTCTCTCTCTCTCTCTCTCTCTCTCTCTCTCTCTCTCTCTCTCTCTTTCTCTACTATGCCTCTGTCTCTCTTTCTCCTTCTCCTTCTCCTTCTCTCCTTCTCCTTCTCCTTCTCCTTCTTCTCCTTCTCTTCTCTCTCCTTCTCTCTCTTCTCTCTCTCTCTCTCTCTCTCTCTCTCTCTCTCTCTCTCTCTCTCTCTCTGTGTGTGTGTGTGTGTGTGTGTGTGTGTGTGTGTGTGTGTGTGTGTGTGTGTGTGTGTCTGTCTTTCTGTCTTTCTGTCTCTCTCTCTCTCTCTCTCTCTCTCTCTCTCTCTCTCTCTCTCTCTCTCTCTCCTCTCTCTCTCTCTCTCTCCTCTCTGTCCTCTCTCTGTCTCTCTCTCTCTCTCTCTCTCTCTCTCTCTCTCTCTCTCTCTCTCTCTCTCTCTCTCTCTCTCTCTCTCTCTCTCTCTCTCTCTCTCTCTCTCTCTCTCTCTTCTCTCTCTTTCCCTCTTCGTCTCCTCTCCCCCCTCTCTCTCTCACTGTCTGTCTGACTGTCTAATTGTTTCTCACTCTCCCATTGTACTCATGTCTGTCGTCCTTTATTTCCTTTCTCTTATTTTTCTGACCTGTTTCATCTGTCTGCCTACCTTCCCCTCTCTGCATGTCTCTTTGTTTCACTGGCGCTATCTCTTTTGCGGCATCATTTAACAATCTCCCCCTCTGTCTCTGTCTCTGTCTCTGTCTCTCTCTCTCTCTCTCTCTCTCTCTCTCTCTCTCTCTCTCTCTCTCTCTCTCTCTCTCTCTCTCTCTCTCTCTCTCTTCTCTCCTCTCTCTCTCTTCTCTCCTCTCTCTCTCAAGCCTAATCATTAACTCAATATTATACATTTTTATATGTTATTTTTCACATTATCTTCATATATATAAATACTACTGTTGTCTTTTTGTTATTTAACGATACTACTCCGCTTGCAATAGTATCATAATTTTCTCTTACGATTATTCTCACTGATAACAATTTAAAGATTATAATTGTTGTTTTCCTTCCCTGTTATCATTAGCCGTATCATA